GCCAGCGCCTGCAGCCCGCTGGGGCCCTGCCAAGGCAGGGCCGCTCGCCAGGCACTGCCAGCTCCGACCGGAGCAGCACAACGAGCAGGCGCAAGTCCCCACGTCATCTTTGTATGTCTGCAAGATGCCTGCTGTGCTCGCGGGTGGCCGAAGAGGTGGCTAGTTAGTGTTACGGATGCTAACACCAGCCTAAGTTTTGAAGCACGTGTCCTGTTACATGCTGGCTTCAAGCATCCACACCGTGGCTCCTGTGCCGAGGCTTTCAGGTTTCAACATTTCAAATTAAAAAGCTGCTAGAGGAAAGGTTTCTGACTTGAGAAATCAGAAATTACCACGCTTAACCAAGCCCTTGGGGACAGCGCGTCCAGCGCTGCGGCCACATGCAGAGCCCTCACAAAAACCTTAACAAAGGGCAACTCAACCGTCAGTGCTTCCAAAGCGTTAGCATTTGCCAGTATAACCTGAAGAGTCACACAGAATCACAGAATCACTAAGGTTGGAAAGGACCTTCAAGATCATCAAGTCCAACCATTAATCCAGTGCCACCATGTTCCCTAAACCACGTCCTGAAGCACCACATCCACTTGTTTTTTGCACACTTCCAGAGATGGCGACTCCCCCCCCTCCCTGGCCAGCCTGTTCCAATGCCTGACCACCCTCTCGGTGAAGAAATTTTTCCTAATATCCAATCTAAACCTCCCCTGGCGCAAGTTGAGGCCATTTCCTCTTGTTCTATCGTTAGTTACTTGGGAGAAGAGACCAACACCCACATCGCCACAACTCCCTTTCAGGTAGTTGTAGAGAGCAATAAGGTCTCCCCTCAGCCTCCTCTTCTCCAGGCTGAACAACCCCAGTTCCTTCAGCCGCTCCTCATAAGACTTGTGCTCCAGACCCCTCACCAGCTTCATTGCCCTTCTCTGGACACACATGAGGGTCTAACACCCTTCTAAATCTTTCTAAGTTCTTGGCCACAAAACCCTTTGAATTTCAGTTTCATTGAGTCCCGCCGCTCAGTGCAGGAGGAATCGAAAAGCTCCCACTCCACTTACTCTGCATCATACTCCATCTTACACATAATGCGTATCACATAATGCACAGGAGTGCTGAAAAGTGAATGTTTACAAAAATGGGAATTAAAGTATTTAACTGCCCTTCTTAACAGTAATAGACAAAAAGGGGAAAGTGTAACAGAAAAAACACCTTCTATATAATAAAAAATATCAGCAAAAATGGAAATAGGGCGAGTGCCTACCACCACTCATGCCTTTTCCATCCCACACACCAACTCCTTTTGGGACTCCACCATTTATGTGCCACCTCTCCTGTTTTCCCACCTATTCACAGAGCCTCTCGCAGGCCAAAGTCCAAGATACTAAGAAAACAAATTTTGCCTCACTATCGAGTCACACTGTGAGCATTTTAAAGATAATTAATATTGTACACATTGAAGTTACTCCACAATGTTTTGTTCAATAAAAATGAACTGTCATAGTTTATGCTTACTTCAGTAACTACAAAAAGCTGCATTTTCCTCAACGACTGCATACAGTTATAAAAGATGACTAACAAAGCAAATTTCTTTTCTGAAAATTGCACTAATTTTTCACTGCTTCTCACACTGAACTATATTTTCTATGTAATTTGCCTGCTGCTGACATCTGATTTTCTTAGGATCTTGAGGCTACTACTTCACCTGTGAATCGTTCAAAACTAGATCTCAAACCGAGGAGATGCAGAGCATGTGCCGGCATGATTTGAGAAGTTCGGAAAATCCTGTCTGGACTGGGCTGCGATGCCAGCGCCATCTGAGCAGAGCAGTACGGTCCCCACGCTGCATTTCTCGGGTGAGCTGTGCCAGAACTCACCGGGATGGCTGGAACAGCCATGTTGGCACTTCACACCCTCTTAGAGAGAACTTGAAGGCAGGGATACGTATCATTGACTTGGAAGCTCCATGTGGAACAGGGCATCATGTATTTTCCTGCTCAGCAACCTGACTCTAGTCCAGCTGCTGATGGTTCTTACAAAGAAAAAGAAAACGTATTTGCCCTGAGCTCCCAATTATTAGAAAATTGCATGCCTCTCTTTTTCAGAACTAAGGTCTTTTGTTGCATTTTTCATCACCATTCAAATTTAGGATTAAAACCCATACATTGAGCTGTGATGCATTCTTGACTACAATATCTTGGCAGCTTACAACATTTGATCTAAACACTTGAAAAACATTATTGCTGATGATGGAATAGCTCCATCTTCTGGAATAAAAGTTATTTTCTTGACAACCATCTTTGTGTTTCCAACATGGATCTATGTGGAAAAATTTCTATTTCAAAACCTAACTTGAATATTTTTACTGATATGGAAGGTGCATCTTGGGTAGAAAACAGGAAATACAGAAATAATGTGATTTCTGATAAACTTCAGGGAGCATTATTTTCTAATGACACTGAATACGCATGTCTGTTGCACAGCATGCCATATTAAAACCCAACCTTATTATTTAAGAAATAGCTGTAATCTGATTTTGAGAACAAGAATTTAAACTCTGTTTAAGACAAAACACTCAGCACACACATACTTAAACATTAGTCCTGGTTTAGGATACTTGACGCTTCACGTCAAAACACCGTAGTTTTACAAAAGTGTTTGTAGTTAAACACTGTCCTAAATGGTGTGATTAAAGCCCCTCCTGTTGAAGTACTTTTAAGTCTGAACTATAGAGAAGGGGCTACAAGTTATCCATATTGCTATTTATAAAAAAATTGAAACATATGTTTAAATTATGTATTTTAGGTTAAGCACATGATGCATTTTAAGCAGGTAATTAGTAACGATGATTCCCATACGTAAAATTTAACTTACGGTCAAGTCAGGTGTTCAACTGGAGAGGCCAGAACAAAACCATGATTACAATTTCTGATTTTATCACTTTTATGTATCATGGGCACATTCTATGGCTGTTGCCTGAAAAAAACAAGCATTAATGAACTAAGTTCTTAAGTACTCACTCACAAAGGGAAAAGAGCATTGAAGCTGTTAGGGATCTATTGACCGTTGCTGCGTAGCATTTCTTGGTTTCACAGGAAGGGTAGAGCCACCGGTAAAAAACGAAAAATTAAACATGTACATCTCCATCTACTTTTGAAATAGCTGTACACCTGAAGTTAATACATACTCATGGACACACAAGAATAGCAGAAATTTAAATAAACTTGCTTAACAAAACAAAGCAACTGAAGCTTTATTTCTCTATATAGAAAGAGGCGTCCCTATGTGCATTCTTTTAAGCTAAGGAAAATGAAAAAGCCATGCAGCCCTTGCAAGAAATAAATCCTAAGGTGGTAATATATATACATAGAAAGTTTCCCCTTTAGTAGATGATTCCTCTCAACAGATGCATAATGTCATTTAGGAGAGCCAAACTTATGACTACTTTATAGTAGAATATTCTACTACATTTTTTTCAGTACAATAGCAAAACCATTGCATGAACCACCATACTGCTCACATCAGTTAAACAAGAGCAAGTAACAAAACTTAAGCAGCTAAGTGTATATCGGAAATCAGACTCCTTATGCAAAGTAAACACAATGAAAGGATATAGAACAAATGAAAGGACTTTTCTTCAAAAAAATTATCTTTCAACTTTCTGCAACTTGACATCATATGGCTTTTGAATGGAGGCATTAGTTAAAAGAATCTTCCCACCCCTAGTCAAGTATTGACTGTATTTAAATACAGCAACGCAAGGACAAACAAAAGTTAAAAATTTAGCATACCACATTACTTTATGTAATACAGCATTAAAATCCCTTTTGCTAAGGCTACAAAGGACAGATTTACAGTAATATGAGGTACCAGCATTTATGGTCAGAAAAGTAAAGATGGAAAAGAATTACACAGCATTGTCATCAGACATTTCTCTTTTTTTCCTTTTGTTTTTTGGAAGGGTTTTTGGTTTTGGTTTTTACAAAATACATGTCTTGATGACCACATGCTTTAAGCTTATATTGATTTATTTTTTTATATATATATATTTTTTATTTGTAGGGGCAATTGAGAGAGAGTCACAAATAAGGAAAGGACACTAAGGTTTAATCAGGGCAACAAAAAAAAAGATGTTTTCACCAGAATAGATTCACATTACAGTACACCAATATTGACAGCATTCTCTTTTGTCTATTTTTGGTACATAAGATGGAATCTCTCTACATAACCTTATAAGGCTTCAGTTAACTAAAAAGTAAAAAACCTATTAGTTTACAATTTATTTAAAAATTCTGAAAGACACAGCAAGTTCTAAACTTTAGTAGTGCTACCCATACACAACCATCTGGTTTAAGAACCCATTAAAAGAGCCTCCTTTCAAGGGAGCTTCCAACAGCAGTTGTGCAATATGGATGTCTCTTACTACAAGGGAAAAAAAAAATTACACATGGCACATTCTCATTCATATTTTGCAATGTAAAAAGTTACAAACATACCTAATGAAATAAATAATAAAAAAAGAATCTGAAATGTGTTTGTAATGTATCCTAAAACCACTACGCAGAATAATGGAAACTTTCACTCACAGACTATTTACATGGTAATACCCAGGTGAGGGTACACACTGCTACAAAACTCATAAAACAAAGGGTAAACTTGAAATGTTTTCCATAGTAAAGGTCTAGCAGCATGACTATATCTAATGCTGTTTGTTTTCTTGACGGTTTTTGGAAGTTTGTTTTAATCTATGTCTTCATCCAGTTCATAATTGTCTTTATCATAAATATCTTTTACTAAAAGAACCCGTACAAGCATATTTTCCAAAGTGTTGCGGTCCAGTGAAGTGGCAGTGTACCAGATGGGACTCTCCACGGAGACGGAGCACTCTGGCTGCAGATAGAACATGTCCATCCGCTGATTCAGATTCTGTGGGCTACAAGGGGGAAAACATGGGAACATGGGGGTTAGAAAAACAGCCTGAGAGGACAAAACAGCATGTTAGCAGTTCCAACATCCTGCACAAATGAAACTCTAACTGTAGCTAGGCAAGTTACAAAAAAAAAAAAAAAAAAAAAAAAAGATTAACGTGGAGGAATGCGGTCTGGTTCATAGAAGAAGCCATGCCAGGTCTGATCCAAGCCCAGCCAGTCCTGTGTCCTCAGAGCAGCCAAAAGCAGACGCCTGGGACTTAGCAAGCATACAAGAGACCACAGGCTGTCTTCCAGCCTTCAAAACTTTGCAGATCCAGGACTTGCTAAACCAGAAAGTACTTTCTACCTATTTAGGAACCCCTGAAATCGACACATTTGCAAAGAGTAATCAGTAATTGCTCATGATCAGTAATCATTACATCAGTAATTGCTTGCACTGCCTGATGCAGCCATCTCTGAATGTAGAGCCCGGGTTTCCCTTGCAAATCAAGGATGGTAGTTCTGAGAGATGCACAGAAATTTAGCACAACAAGCTTAAATCCCTCCTCCTCCTTTTACTTAAAGGGTTGGTCATTATAAGTCTTAAAATCCCTTAGTTCCTGATCCACTGTACCTTGGAGTTTGATCCAGCTCAGACACATCTGCTAAGCCACTAGAGAAGACCCCTTTAAGGAAATTCTAGCATTTTGTCCATTTAGGCAAGTTTCAGAAAACAATTTTCAATTCTGCATGTGCAAGTGCTCACTCATGCTCCCTCCCTCATAAATACTGCAGACTTCAGGAGTTAACTCTATTTCATGTTTCTTTGGCAAAAATAAGGATTTTTACCAGCTCATCTTCCCAAACTGGCTCGTAAGATTTCAGGTGCTGCTTTTCACCTGCTGGGGTGAATGTTGGCTTGTTCTGCTCTTACATAAATCAGATTAAGAGTCAGATAAGAAGCAAAATATGTTTAAAATATTCTAATAATTTAAATATTTTAACGTCCTTCATACTTTTTTGAAAAGCCAGTATTTTTATAGGAACAAACAATGACAGTGTTCACAGTTGTGAGTGAGAGGATCCTAAAAATTCAGATGTAACTGCTCGCTGATTGCGAAGTGTATTTCAAACAGTTGGCATTACCTTAAATTTTACAATAGTTTTACAATATTACCTTAAATCACATTACCTTAAATTTTACAATAGCTTTTAGAGTGTTAAATATTTAATTAGAATTACTTCATCAAAGACATGAGGTATATGTTATTAGAAGTGGAACCCGAAGAAACAGACAGAGAAACTGGTACCAACAGATGAAGAAAAGGCTGAGGTACTCAGCAACATCTTTGCCTCAGTCTGCACTGGCAGTCTGTCATCTCACACCTCTCAAGTGGATGGACTGCAAGACAGGGACTGGAGGAGCAAAGTCTATGGGACCTGATGAGATGCATCCCAGAGTCTGGAGGGAACTGGCTGATGTAGTTGCCAAGCCATTCTCCATGATATTTGAGAAGTCCTGGCAGTCAGGTGAAGGCCCTGGTGACTGGAAAAAGGGAAACATTACACCCCTCTTTAAAAAGGGTCAAAAGAAGGACCCTGGAAACTACCAACTTGTCAGCCTCACCTCCGTGCCAGGGAATATCATGGAGCTGATGCTGCTAGAAGCTATGCTAATGCACATGGAGGGCAGGGAGGTGATTGGAGACAGCCAGCATGGCTTCACCAAGGGCAAGTCCTGCCTGACCAACCTAGTGGCCTTCTAGGATGGAGTGACCACATCAGTGGACAAGGGAAGAGCTACAGGTGTTGTCTATCTGGCCTTCTGTAAGTCCTTTGACACAGTCCCTCAAGAACATCCTTCTCTCTAAATTGGAGAAAGATGGATTTGATGGGTAGACTGTTGGGTGGATGAGGAATTGGTTGGAAGGTCGCATCCAGAGGGTAGTGGTCAACAGCTCAACGTCCAGATGGAGACTTGTTACGAGTGGTGTCCCTCAGGGATCTGTATTGGGACCAGTACTCTTTAATGTCTTCATCAATGACATAGTGGGATTGAGTGCACCCTCAGCAAGTTTGCAGATGACACCAAGCTGAGCGGGAGGGCTGGCATGCCTGAGGGACAGGATGCCATCCAGAGGGACCTCGACAAGCTGGAGAAGTGGGCCCATGTGAACCTCATGAGGTTCAACAAGGTCAAGGGGAGGGTCCTGCACCTGGGTTGGGCAATCCCCAGCATCAATACAAGGTGTGGGATGAAGGGATCAAGCGCAGCCCTGCCGAGGAGGACTTGGGGGTACTGGGGGATGAAAAGATGGACAGGAGCCTGCAGTATGCACTCGCAGCCCAGAAGGCCAACTGTCTCCTGGGCTGCATCCAAAGCAGCGTGGCCAGCAAGTCAAGGGAGGTGATTCTGCCCCTCTACTCTGCTCTGGTGAGACCCCCCCCTGCAGTCTTGTGTCCAGCTCTGGAGCCCTAGCACAGGAAAGACATGGACCTATTGGAGCGGGTCCAGAGGAGGGCCACAAAAATGATCAGAGGGATGGAACACCTCTCCTGTGAAGAAAGGCTGACAGAGTTGGGCTTGTTCAGCCTGGAGAAGAGAAGGCTCCAACGAGACCGTATTGCAGCCTTCCAGTACTTGAAGGGGGCTTAGAAGAAAGATGGGGACAGACTTTTTTGCAGGGCCTGTAGTGGCAGGACAAGGAGTAACAGTTCTAAATGAAAAGAGGGTAGACTTAGACTAGACGTAAGGAAGAAATTTTTCACACTGAGGGTGACGAACCACTGGCACAGGTTGCCCAGAGAGGAGGCAGATGCCCCATCCTTGGAAACATTCAAGGTCAGGTTGGCCGGGGTGCTGAGCAACCTGCTCTAGTTGGAGATGTCCCTGCTCACTGCAGGGAGGTTGGACTAGATGACCTTTGAAGGTCTCCTTCAACCTAAACTATTCTATGACTCTAAGCAGTCTGCTGCTCTAGTTAGCAACGGCGACCAGTATCTGTAAGACAGCAGGACTTGAAACCACACCGTAAACGATGATCCAAATGGGTTTAAATGCATTCTTTCACCAAAGTTGAGATGTTTCTAAAGAAAAAGAAAACATTTGTTCTCTCTTCCCTATTGGCTGTGTAATTCAGTTCAAAAATCCAGCTTCAGCTTCTTAATGAGATATCCTCTCCAAACCATGACAGTAGGTAGTGTGAAGGCAAAAAGCCCCCCCTGCAACATTCAGAATTAACTGAGTTTATGAAAAACAGGTGCTTGCATTAACAAACCATAAGTTTCTCTCTAACATCACATACTTGCACTTCTGCCTACGTTGTGCGTAAGGTCTTTCTTCACCTTTAAGAGTAAGATACTGTTCCCTAACACATGTTGGGTCTCATGATTTAATTTGATTTACTGGGTTGTAGATACAATGTGATTTTTATTTCCTTGATATCACTTGCCTATATTTCACTTAAGAGTTACATAAAATCTACATTAAAATCAGTTGCTCAAATGGCTGTTAAATTAAAGTATTTATAATGAAATCCTGTTTTCAAACCCTTTCAAAACACTTAGCTGCTAAATTAAAATTTTTTTGAAGAGTTGCCTGAACTTTTCTTTTTAATGTATTCATTTCTGTGCAGATTGGAAGGAAACAAGCTATTTCTAAATGCTGGAATACTCTCAGTAGTATTTTTTCCTACATTTCAGATTCCTAATTACTTAACATGAAGCAAATCCATTGTCTCAATCCAATTCTTACTGAAGAGACAGGAACCTCACAAATGAAACCCTCAGTAGCAAAACCTGCCAGATTCCTTACTGGTAATTTTCTGCAGATACTTGGTGTTTCCAGGTAAGAAAATGAAATTGCACTGTCATTCACAGATGGAGTCCTTCACAGTTAACACTGAAGTACTCTGCTGCTCCCACGCATTCTGCACGCCTGGTCCAGACACAGAACTGGAGATTTCAATGCTTTCATTTAAAGATTTTTCAGAAGATCTCAGTCCATTCCCTTTCTTGAGTGTATTTCATGTTGCATCAAAACATTTCCCTTTTGTACTTGGTCTACTCTAGACCACTTCTCTATTAACCCATACCATACTTACCTTTTAGACAGATAGCACTCAAACATTTTCACAGGGCATCTAGCTGGATCAGATGTGTTTTCAATTTGTTCAAATACTGGTTCATCATCTTCATGTTTCCTTTTTCCAGTAGTCATTTTATCTTTAAGGAGAAAATCAACAACATCCAAGCTATAACTTGAAGTTATTTTACATTTTTCAGTAAACTTCCCAGAGTGGGCAGCCCACCAGGTACCGCAATGCGGTCGTCACAGCTATGCATATCTGCAAAGCGGAAATGCAGCCCACAGCCACAACGAAGTCACAGCATTTAGCATGGAGACCAGGAGGCTCAAAGGGATCATTTTAATGCAGAGACCCTGTAGTCTCCACGGACCACACACTCTGTTTAAAGATCCGGGAGCCGAGAGCTGCTAAACTTTATGCAAAGGCAGACCTCTGGCTCCTGGAAAGGTGCCCAGATGTCCCTCAGAGGAGCGCAATGTGGATGCTCCTGCAATACTTATTTTGGAACTGCCATAGTACCTTCACTATCGGCTCTGCACAGGGAAGACACCTGATATCGAAGACAAGCTTTGCTTTCCATTGTTAGAGGGTTTTTTTTCCACTGTCTAAAAACAGTGCCAAAAGAAAGTCTTAAGTGCTGCTCCACTGTTTTCAGGCCAAAATATTTAGTGTTAAAGTAGAACAGAGTATTCAGAAGAGCAACCGGTGAATGTGATCCTAGCTGTTTAATCCTCCAAAGGTAATCTTCTTCAACTCGAGAGAATATTGATCCTTCAAAAAGAGTATTAGAGAAAATAAAATGGATTAGCCCATACACTGTCCAGATGCAAAAGAATCAAATTTCTGTTTAGTGTAAAATTTAATAAAATGCTCATGATGGAAGCCTCTAATAAGCATTTAATTATATGTCCACACCCCCGAACCCACCTCTTAAAAGACACAGACACTCGCTGATTCAGGGAGAGACAGTCAATAGGAAATATCAGTATAGGCAATTTCATACGGAACACATTTGTTTAATTACAACAGCATTGCTTACATGTGGCTCCCTCATGTTATTACATAAAAACAAATGTTCAAGGGCCTAATCTTAATCCTTTGATAAAAAGCATATTTTTGAGTTCATTTTGTTCTGCTCAGGCAAGGCCTCCGAATAGCTATACCTTCCTCCTCCCTATTGCTAACAGGTATCTCACTCAGAAGGCACTCCTGGCCCATATCAGGATATAGGGAGGGCCCTATACTGAGGCTCTCCAGAGCTATACAGAGAAAAACCAGTATCAAGAAGAGAGAGAAAAGGGGCTGGTAAGGACAAGCCCTCATTCAAGAGAGGATTGTGAGAAAGATGGAAGAACAGTGGATTCTGCAGTTCAGAACCAACACTGATCTGCTGGGAAAAACTCCTGTTTTCTCCATGAATTGATGATCCTCCTGAGCAGAAGGCCCATAGCAGAGAATCCTCCCAATCCAGCTGAGAAAGACTAAAATACATAGCTTGTTAGCCCTACCCACACATAGCCCAGTGCTGCCTGCCTGCCTCCCATCTGGGAAAAATATGGGCAAAAAATATATTCAGCTCAGGTAAAAAGTACAAGCTGAAGAGCAGCTGCTTATTCTAACTTTCTCTCCTAAAAATGGATAATCAATTTAAGATTAGCAGGTGGTGATTAACAGATAAGAGTAACTCTTGCAGCATGGATTACTGAGAAACAAGACAAGAAGAACAGGTACAGGCTTAACTGAACTCTTAGATGATATCGATTACTATTGCCATGCATAAAATGTTTGTATATATCTACGTGCTTAAGAATACAGAACTATGAAGAGATGAAAAACATACATGACCAAAAAGAAAATTACCATCTGGAAGTATGCTTGGTTGCCAGCTTCTAAGGATTTTATTTAATTCCTGTTCAAATGTCTGGTAGATTGGATCAATAAATATGTTGTCTGTTCGATTACTTCCATATAAATACTACAGGAAACAGAGACAAACAATATTTACAGTTCCAGATTAGAACAAATCCTGTGCTATAGGGTTCTTTTTCAGTACAATGCTTGCAGTTCTATAAAAAAGATATCTAAAAATAAAGCAATGACACTTTTCCAATATTTGGCAGTTAAATGTTACCTCCAATATAACCTATGTTGTAAATTTCTAACTGGATATGGATCACAGATTAATTACAACTCTAACATTTTTCTCTAAAATTTCCTCTGGGCGACACTGTATCAGTGAAGGAGGAGCAATTTAAAAAAAAAAACCAAAAACCACAAACTGATTTATCTTTTCCTCCACCTAGGTCTTCAACGAAAAAAAAAATCAGCAAGAATCTGCCATTTTAAATGTGAACTCTGGACACTGACAAAAGCATCTTCAACACAGAAGCAGGAGCAAAATAACCCCATATATTTGTGGTAATGATATGCAGCAGCACAAGAAAAATGATAGGATGGTGCAAGGTGCCTGCCTATTCTGCAATCTAATTATCTTAACCCTCTTGACCTTACCGACAGAAAGTCTTTGGAACCTTTACCAAGAATTAATGGCCGAGGGCTATACTAGTATTTGACATTATCCTCTCTGGAGACATTTCTAAGAAACGGAGGATTGGCTTCTTAAAATTTCCACTTCAGTGTTATCTTTGTGTGAGCAAGCCTGTTGTTAGTGAATACATAAAAGTGACAGACACAAAAAATGTACTCATTTCTGGAAATGACATCTATTTCTGCACACATACTTGAAATAACATTAAACACAGTGGTCATTTATACTTGGCGATTCAGCACATCTTGACTTCCTTGTCTTTGCACTTAGTTTTATAATAAGGAAAAACAAATTAATACACTTCCTAGAAGTCTCCAACACAACATCTCCATTTACATAACTATTTTATATGGTATGTTTAACTAATTCTTCAAAGCATAATATACCCCAAAACGTGCTTGTTTGTACATATATCAGTTTTGATTTTATAAAGCAATTCTGTGTTTGTCCCTCTGTTCCCTGGCACATTTTTCCTCCATGAATTTTCATTTTCTCTGGTTTGCATTGAACACACTGAAAACCGGTTCAAAACCAATTCCCACACAAGCCTGTGAGAAGTCAACTACAAACATTTCTGTTTCCTGGTACAGAGTAAGTGTTTGGTTAAACCCCGACATCCCCAGTAGAAATCTGTGAAGCACCCTGGACCATTAGCACTGCAGAGTCTACAGAAGAATGATGATGTGTTGCAGTCTCCTTTGCTACACCATACCCAATACGCACCCACAAACCTTCATTTCCACACTGTAACACCGTGCTCTGCTACTCTACAAACTGTAGCAGGGGCAGGATGAGCATAAATTAAGGAGTTTCCACCTGAGATGAGCTCTACTGAAACTGCAGCCAACAGGAAGGAACTCGACATGTCTGAGTCCCACAGTGGAGAACAAGCTGAACCACTGCCCACAGCACCTTCAGACAAACATCCGCAAAGCTCCATCAGCCTGAAGGTTGTCCAAACAACTCAATTATTACATAAAAACATAACCCGCCCCTGCCAAGAAACCCCAACCTGTACTGGGACAACGAATGAAGGCCACGATGTAGTAGGGGAGCAAGGCAGGCTAACACCTTCTTCTAGATAAACCCTCTCCACTAAATGCACACCTGACCGAGCAGCAACCTTTAAGTATGATATTTTTCAGGATCAGTGCTTCACAGTTATCAAAACCATTATTGAACCATTTCTGGCTGGAAGCAGAACAATTTCCACTGCAAATGAACCTGAACTGAGAAAATGTACCATTTCACTCAGGGACCAGTTTGCTGGAACAGGTCTTCCAAGTGCTTCCTTTAAGAAAAAGTTATTTTACAAAGTCAAAAAAACCCCCCCCAACTTAAGACTTGAAGTCCTGAGCACTTCCCCCTGTGCTCAAACCATATTATACTGACGTGGAAAAGCTCCAACCTGAGCCCGTACTCAGCCACAGTGAGTGCAGTCATCCTGGCGGAGGGAGAAAGTGCTCTTTTTCTAACCTACGGCTTCCACATCCTCTTCCTTTGAAGAGAAACTTATTTAGACTTAACAAAACATTGATGATCTTTGGCACAACTTTATCCTTATATGGCATCACTTAATCTCCTCCGAGCCCATTCTGAGTTACACAGAGCCAAGACCTTTCAGCAGCAGCAGACAATTTATTCTCCCTCAGGAGTACCCACGCTGCGGTTGTCAGATGGAAAGAAGGACTAAGAAAATACTAGAAGGCAATGGAGTTCTGCTGCACCTTGCAACGACGACGCTGCATTTAGTGTACCCCTAACCTGTTGAAACGTGTTTCTTCAGAAGGGTAACGCACCCATATACATACAATTAGCACACAGATGTTGGCGGCAACCCTTGACAGCTCACACGCTGACATGTTTCTGTCCCTCACTTGCGGTCTGCCTTTGTGAAACGCACACTCCTCAGAACATCCTCCTACCAGTCTGAATAGCAGTGGCACAACTGAGCCCGTGAAACGGGGCTGTTAACATCACCCGAATTAAATACTGGACACTATAAGTAATAATTACAGTAAAATGACCACATTTCCATGTTCCTCTAACGTTCCAGCGTTGTGTATGTTTATGAAGGCTCATGATATTGTGTTGTGCCACACAAACTTTGGTTCTGATCAGCTAAAAAAAAAAGCTTTACACATAACTAGCTTTCACAGTAGACAAAATAGACAATGTCAAAAGCACAAAGAAAAAGGTGAAAAAAAGAAAATATTAGTTGAGATCCATGTTATAAACACACACCTCACTCTGTGTATTGTTTATCAGCTTAATGAGTATTTTCAATTCAACACAAAGATACAGAGAGACAGTATATCGTGCCAGTGCAGAAGCAGAAAGCTAGCTGTATTTGAAACATATTTACTAAAATGCCAAACCATGAATGCTCGCTTCTCAAATTTCAACCATGCGCTAAAGATATCGACTAACTCCTTAGTTTTGCATACTCACAAGACAAAAAAATTAGCAGAGTTACTATTTATTTTAAAATGCTTTTGATTAAAAACCTGTTATTTGATTCAAGTCCTCTGCCTTAAGTAGGAAACATTTTAAGCTGGATTGCAAAGCTTGTGAACAGCTTGCTTTCCACATCATAGGCATTTTTTATTGCCTTTTAATTTGAAGGAAATTTTCTGTGTTCTCGGCTCTGAACATTGCTTATTTCATCTATGATTTGCCTTATGTACCAAAAATTATGACATCGTCTGCTTAAAAGATAAGCTATAGAATAGCTTTTCTAATTATCTAGTGATATGTTACTGCCTTCACATGCAATACACCTAAACTGACTCCCTTTATCTTCAAAATACAATGTAATTACAAGTGAGGGCAGGGCAGTTGTGTAAGACAGTCAACACCACAGAGTTTCCTGCACTCTACAAAAAAGCCTGACTGCCCACAGTCTGCAACATTCAGTAAATTAGACTCTTGCAAAAAGACACTTCAAATAGCTTGTTTCCACTACAGGCTAAGTAACTGAATTATAGACATTTACAGATCATACCTTGTTTCATTCTGTTTACATTAAGCCATCTTTAGCAAACAAAATGAAGCACTGCATTTGGAAAAAAACTATGTCATTTTAGGCTGCAAATTCCTTGCTTTAACCCGGCAAGAAGCTTAAAATTATTACATATATCAGTTTGCATTCGTGTTTTAAGGACGTGTCTGCAAACTCTTTTTCTATACAGACAACTTTCTACAATGTGATTTACAGAGCAGCCTCTCTCTGTTCCAGTCATAGCCGTTATATTAAGAATAGCTCCTAGCCAGTAAATCCACATTATCTCCATTCTTCCACTGAAATGAGTTACAGTCAAATCAGCAGCTCCACTTCGCATCTCTACAGCTTCTACTAACCTCCTGAATCCCAAGACACAGATAATAGATGCTGTCAGGTGCATAGTTCTCTCCATTTGGCCTTCGAATTTCATTGACAAAATGTGTCAACCCATAGTTTAACTCAGCTGAAGTATGTGATAATAGATCTTCCTTTAATTTCACAGACTTTGCTGTAAAATAGAGAAAAAATGCTACATTATACAACAGAATTATTACACGGTGAGAGTGGGATAGGGTATTTTTGGACTGGAAAGCAGGAAACTGGCATGATGTCCTCTCCACTAACCAATGAACAAGTCTAGATGTACCAAGTAGTTCAAATGTTAGGTCTGTATTAAAATAAAGAAGGCTACCAGAGTAATGTCTAGTTAACCAAATGCACTATCACCCACTGATGAATGTACTGTCACGCACAGCTGAGGACGACCCAGAAGTGGCCCAAGATGCTGATGTGAAGACAGTGCTGTGGAGAGAGACCTTCAGGGGAAACACCAGTTTCCGAAGATCCAACAGCATAATGCAAGGGTGCCAAGACGCACACAGGAGCTGAAGAACAGCGGGAGTAGCAGCAATTCCCCTTTTCCCTCACAGTACAAATGTACACACAGAGGAGCGTTGCAGAAAGAGCAGCAAGGGTCCACGGGAGCGAAGGCCACTTCATGTCAGAGCTCCACAGCCAGGTAATGCCAGCCTCCCGTGAAGATCTCTTTCCAGGACAAAGGGTAAGATGCCAATCCCTCGCAATTTAGGAAGTCCAGAAAAGGTGTGAACTCCAAGGCAAGTTAGAATATGAAGAAAAACAGGATGCAAACAAAAACCCAAAATGGTCACAGAAAGTCAGAAGAGCCAGCAAGGTGCTGTCCTGACTTGCACAAGAAGTGAGAGACCCAGCATTTTGAACCAAGTAGGGGAAATTAGGAAAAAAACAAGTTGGGCAACTCTTTGGTAAAAGAATCCCAGTCATTGTGGGAACATTAGGGACATGTGAAAACTTCTGTTAAAAATTCCAGCTGAAAAAATCAGATGAGTACAGCAATTCTCCCTACCAAGTAAGAGTCTGGATGCCAGATTTTTGGAAATACTTACTTGATTTCAGTTCCTCTAATTCTGGAAGCTCTTCATCTAAATACCGAGACTTTACCCAGTGCTTCCATGCATTTACACCATATGCGTATTTGAATGGAAAACTACACTCTGAGTTTTCAGAGCTGTCATCGTGTGACTGGTATTCCGACACCGCTTTCCTCTTCACCCCCTGCCATTGAAACACAGTGGTTAACACCGCCGACAGCTGCTCACAGCAACCACGCGCAAGCTGCAGGCCAAATTACAAACTGAATGTTCAGCGTAAAGAAACACATGCTTTATTCAGTAGGTGGTTTCGGTGTTGAACATAACTTCTAAGGACAGTATTTACTTAAGCTGACAGAGGTTTCTAATTTGCCTTTCAAACTGGTTCCTAACACAGACAGAAAAATTTTTGGTAATGGAGTTGCTGTATTAGTTATATCATATTAAGCAACAAACGCGTGATGCACCAAATAATTCAGTGTATTTCTAGGATTTCTTTGTGTTACTGATGCTAATGACTGTGTTAAGTTAAAGATGCTGCAAATTATGTCAGGTGGTCAACTTTTAGGCTTGACTAACTCGTCAATGGAAAAGCTAGCATTGGTCCCAAATTAAACCATATCCAGCAGATAATATCAACAGTTTTTACTTCAAATTTAAAACTAGAAAAAACATTTATTCTTAGAAAATTTTATTAGAAGTTGGCTTTTTTTTTTTTAAAAGCTGCAATACCTGCAGCAGTTATTGCAACAAAACCATTTCAGCTTTGTTTCAGGCATCAGAAACTCTATTTCCTGTTAGTTTCCTTCCAAATAAAAGAATACGGCTACTTTATTTGCAATGTCTAAACTAAGATTTTTGACTGAAAATAAAATCTGGAAAAATTACAAGCAAATAAAAGTTATTTTTTAAAAACTGTTTTACACAGTAGATGCTATAGCTCCCATTATAAGCCATGGTAACGCCAGCATTCTTCCATTTTACTATCAAATTAAAGCAAGGCAGCTTTGCTCAAAGTAGAAGGTAGAAAAGCATTGCTAAGAGTACAGTAAATATATACATTCTAGCACATTGCATCAATAGTTCTACCAATGTGAAGCAAAAATGGGATCAGAATTTAGAAACCACACTCCTATTAACTGCAACAGACACAAGACTGAAATAAATTTATTATTTGAAATATATCAATTTACATCATAAAGATAGGATATTAGGTATGAACAGGCAGTAACACATTTTAGAGCAATATGAGAACTGAAAAAAAAAAAACCAAACCCAACCCAAAACCTGGAGTATTTTTGCCCACTTAAATTTGCGCTTCAATATTTTTTTTTAATAGCATGACAAAATTACCTTCTTTTTGGACCGAGGCCTTGGCTGTTCCTCGTATTCTTCCCCAAAAACAGGAGGTAATAAAAATTCATTTTCTGTATCAAGCTCCTCAGTTGCTGAAAATATATTAACAGAAACTTATTTCTAAACATCTTTTGAATAATATTGGATTGAAAAAAACCCAATTAACCCAATTAGTATGTATTAAGATAAGGGGTCCACAAAAGCACACATATAAACATTGCCAAAGACCAGATTTTAGTCAGACTAGACATAAAGAAGAAATTTTTCCCAGTGAGCGTGGTGAAGCACTGGCACAGGTTGCCCAGAGAGGTGGTGGACACCCCATCCCTGGAAACATTCCAGGTCAGGTTGGACGGGGCTCTGAGTAACCTGAGTTGAAGATGTCTCTGCTCACTGCAGGGGGGTTGGACTAGATGACCTTTAAAGGTCCCCTCCAATGTAAACCATTCTATGATCCTACGAAATAAACCTACTGTTATTTTCAAAGTAAGGCAAAGCTGTCAAAATACTGATTTCTAAATAAATTGGAAAGGATACAGTGTTCAACATTTTCAAGCACCATCTCAAGTCACTATGGCAGCATTTCTTACTACAAACTCTTATACTTATGCCTAGGCAGTTTTTGGTATTAAGAAGTTTAAGTTATGATGAGAATTATCAGCTATGAGTGGAAAAAATACAAATTAACTTACTACATGCACTTTTGTTCATCTATTTCCATCATTTCTATTAATGTTTTGTATTTTATATAGCACATTATACTTGGTTAAAAACATTAAGAATCAGAATGTAAACTCTTTCAGAGAAACTGGGTTTAGTCCGTATTTATACAAGTGGTGGAGGTCTAGCTCATGATGGATGTTACAGTCATTTTGGCAAACAGATAGATGGTAATATGTCAAAATACTATTTATTTAACATTTCAGGAATAGGATGAAGGACTCTATTTCAGGCAACACAGTGGAATAAGACAACATATGATTGGATTTAGTGTTGCAAGTTCCACCTTTATTTACTTTACTGAAGATGGTTCTTCCCTCATTTAGCAATCAAACAATGTTTTCATTCAAAACTGAATGCTCTTTTGATAGCCTGATTTCACCACCTTACTCCTCAAGACACCATTCAAACTGGTCCAGATGAAATAGCATTCACATGCAAAGATCAAAGAACTCTGCCCCAGACTAAACACCAGTCCTTCTCCTGCTACGACGAAGAATGTCTCAGAAGCACTTCAGTGTAACCAAGAGCTGTTACAAATTGCTATTAATTACCATTCCACTATGATTAATTTTTTCTTCAATTTTTTTTTTCTTTCTCATGTATCAAGCCTCACTTATAAAAAGGGTTAAAAATCTAACATGCATCTGGCTAATAAACTTCCTAAGACTAAGACCAGACTAACCCCTAGACTTGATCTTTAAATTAGACAAATTACAATGAGACAATTACAGCAAACTGAGAAACCCAGTCTGGGCCATCTAGTGCTGACATCTATGGCACAAAGCAAAAGAAGACTTTCAACATCAGACATAGAAGCTAGTCAGGGGAGGTATGAGTTATACGTCCAAGAGAAGCTATGTCAAGGCGGATACTAGCTACAGACAGGAGCTTTCGTGGATCTTGGATTGATTAGGACACCTGATCTAATTGAAGATGTCCCTGTTCCTGCTCATTGCAGGAGGGTTGGACTAGATAACCTTTAAAGGTCCCTTCCAACCCAAACTATAAACACTGTTGCCTGCGTTCTATAGAGTGGTAAAAATTTTAATACATAAAAAGGTCTCAATGTAGTGATTTTCCTGGTAAGTCAAATAACTCTACCTTTTTCAAATACAGGTATGGACAGTAATAAGATACTAAAAGGTAACACAAGTGATGTGCACCATTATCAGCTTGCAATTTTCTAAGAAAATTGAGTGGGAAATTTGCCCTTTTGTCATTTTTGCTCTAAACCACCATTTCCCACGGAAATACCTGGTGATTGAAGAATGCATTCATTACTGTTTGCCATGACACATACTGAGTCTTTGAGCCTTCAAAATAGGCTCAGTTTTCCTAAATCCATGTCTAAAACCAAGTGATGAGCCACGTTCTTTTGTGAAAAGTTAATTCTCCCTTTTCTTTACATTCTGTTTCAAATATTGTATTTAGAAAGGTGGAGGAACTAATTCAGAGGTCCCCAACCTTGCAAAGACATGGCAAAGTTTTACCTAACAGTCAGTCAAGTGGATCTTGCAATCGACTAAAAGCTCCTCTGAAAGGATGATAAAACAAAGTACAGTGGTTGCCCACAATGTCTATTTCACAATATTTATTAAAATGACAGAAAAAATACCTCTTGGAAAGTCTATTTCAATATCAAGGTCTGGTTCATATGGAACATCAGGTAAGCTTGTTTGTGCCTCTGTTTCTGAGTTTAGTAAATTTGACTCAACTATCAAACCTGTAAAAAAAAAAAAAAGGAAAAACTCTCGTTATTTTAACCAACAATTGGATTAGTCAAAACAGGGCAAATTTAGAACATTAGAAGCTGAGTGGTTCTAAAGCTGCTTGTTCTGCTCATTGCCATCCTAGGTTTTGTTATTCTTGGGATCTCAGATTTACTTCTCCAATCTGATTTCCTTCAATCAGAAAAGATACTTACTAGCCCATCTGTCCTTCATTAAGATGACTCAGCAAAGCATGTGTATAGAAAATCAAATACTGGGGAATCTGGATCACATCAACTAATCACAGAACTCAAAACAAGCCTGACAAACCTAACTATTTTTCTACATGATTCTTCCCGCAACAGAACAGACTTTCACATCTGTGAAAGTGATCCTACAAAAACAAACAAGGCAGGCAGGCCGAGAGAAACAAAAATTTGACCTTTTTCCAACTTCTAGCAAAGACAGATTTCTCCAAATTCAGTTCTCTGCAAACGAGCAAGCTTTCATCCCATGTACCTACTCATTCCAATAGCTGTACTTAGCAAAACGGAGCAAGGAACTGAAAATGACAACCTTGCAGTACTACCAGAAATGTCCAGCTTTAGTGGGGGAATAGCAACAGTTTGGAAAACAATAAGCCTCCTGGGACTGCAGTACCATTGGCCTCCTACATATCAGGCCCAAAGCGTAAGTTCAAGTCATTTATCAACACCCTTTGACATCTGTTGAAAAGAGCTTTGAAAAAACCCCAAAATTTCACCTGACTCAAGGGAAAACCTTAAAATACATTTTTTGGAAGAGAAAGCAGATTCTCCTGCAAAGATACAGAAGATACTTGAGGACTTTGGCAGGCAGAGCTGGAAAAGAGGGACAAAGAGGTATGTGCACTGAGAAAATATCATTACAGGATATGCGGTATATTTGATCTTCGGCTGTAAAGTTGTCCGAGACAGTTCTCTCCTTTTCGGTGAGCTGGTGGGATGACAGGCCATTTCAGCAACACAGCTGCAATGATCTATCAGCTGATGCAGTACTATCTTCGAAGACTGGATGTTTTTGCAGGTCAGGATCAATCAAGAGCAAAAGCATCTTAGGTCACCTGGTTTTGTTGACCACAGTTCCATTTGTGAAATATATGCTTCTCTTAGTTTTAAGAGTCCCCACTTTCCCACACCCAATGTAAAATGCGCCTAGTAACGTGTTACAATGACATCAGATCCCTGTCATATCCCACCTTGTTCAGAGAAAGTTCTGTTCCCACCTGTAACACACAACTACGGAGATCACTTTCCCTAAACTTCTGACTTGAGTTTTTCTGGGAGGACGAATGAATTGGTTTTGTCTTGGTTTGAGTTATGCTGAGAAGAAAACATGTGTGTGCAATCCTGGATGAATGCTCGCCATCAGCCAGGGAGCTGGCACAAGCAAAGAGAATGCCTGTGTTTTTAAAGACAAAGGTCTGGTACAGGACACTGAGGTCACACAACAGACTTCAGAACCTCTTTCTGTATTTCAAATGTGCTAAAATGATCTTTAAAAGTATTTAAATAATTAAGATTTCAACTTAATGTAAGAACTCAACAATAGCACTACTGTACTCAAAAAATCTTTCCCT